TCCGACCTACGGTTCAAATTATACAGGCGTTTAAATGATGCCCGCCAAAAGGCGGGCTTATGCAGTTGCGGGTTAAGAGCGCAAAATCCATCTGCTTGTGAAAAATTTGTATTCATTTTCAATACTTAAAACTCGTTTCAAGTTTCTGGTGCTTCAATTTTAATGTATCACATGGGTACTTTGGCGGAGGGCTGTTGGCGCTGAAGCAATTCACAGAGCACACTTTTGACAGCGTTGCTTATTTTTTAGTTAATAATTTTATTCTTAGACGTCTTTTTTCATTGGAAACTTTTTCGATTTGAACATTAAACCATCGACCTCGTTAATGTCAGATAGAGTTCTCTATCTTTTTTTTTCTTTCTAAAAGAAAAGAAATATAATCTCAAAACATATAATCCGTCGTACCTTACGCGTATAAATGAAGATAGCCGCTTAAGAAAGCCCATTAAAATTGTGTTGATGGATTTGCAGAGGAATTGGGTTCGAATGTTCAACGTGTTCGATTTTTAGTTTATTTCTTGTTTTTTCCCCCTCTTCATATTCAATGTTTACACTCGTTGTGATGATATTGTCTGCTCGTGACTTGCCGATTTTATGTGCTAGGCACTAGCTCAAACCGAAGTGACTTTTGCCAACAAGAAGAGATAACTTGGTGCTGACGTTGTACATTGCTGTTGAAAGTTTCCAAACGGCAGGAAAATGTGTGATAAGAAGAGAACAAAAAAGTTATCGGAATGTGTCTGAGCGAACGAAAAGCGTTACTCTTCTCGTACGTATTTGAAGTAACGAGTCTCGTTGCCAGACACATCAAAAACCTGCAGAAAAATGTTTTAAATCTTATTTTGCCATCGCCTTTTTGACATTCGATGTTGACTTATCTCTTTTCTCCTTCTTTTTCTTTCTCTTTCGGTTGAATTTTTGCGAAAAACACCCATGATCCATTCGACATCCGAACATCTAATAGATCATCGAACTCTTTGTGCAAAACTTTTGTGCCGAACTCTGATTTTTATTCTTTTTCACCCGTTACCAAATTTATACACTATTTTTTGTTTTTGATGCTGTATGCCGATGTGCATTTTTTTCTGCTGGTATCTCTGGCTATGAGAGGAATGCCATGCTGTGCAAAGTTTGTTAGAAACCGAAATAGAACGCAAACCAATTGCAAAAGCAGCAATGTGAAAACTTGCAGAAATCCCACACAAGCTTCGTGTCAAACGAAATCAATATAAATTGACAATCTATGCGCAACACCAAACAACAACCTAATTGGGGTTCGCACCAAGAATATTGCATCAAAACCGGATCCACATCGAAAAATGGCACAAGCTGATTAGAGCGAACTAGACGAAGAAGAAAAAAGTAGTGCAACAGAAGTTTCCCATTTGCGTATCATATGCCATGCAATTGAAACGAACTCGTCTAACTTTGCGATCGAAAACTTAAATCGTTTACGAATAGAGTTTTGCAAGTTGTGTCTATGGCGTAGGCGCATCATACCGTATGTGCGTTGCAATTTCATCGGTGTTCTAGAGCCGATAAAGTTTGCCGGAGCACAAAGTGAAGAAATGTGTCGTCAAAAGTTGAATTTTCCATTTTTGATTCGGTGCCATACGGATACGTCTACGAATACGAATGAATGATGATTGTATTTTATCAAAACTTTATGCATTCTTCACACATTTTTCATTTTCTCCCATTGTGCTCCATTTTTTTTTATTTGTCTTCTTTGATTTCTCTCTGTTGAACATTCGCTTTACACGCTCATTGTCTTGTGCGTCTTTATGAGTGTCTTTTGTGGTTATTCCGCCATTTTTCTTACTCACATTTTTATGGATGCCATTCAATTGCACTTAAAAGTGTACGTGTTCATTCTTGATGTTCATTCCACAAAGCGATTCTTGTTCGTTTGTTGCAACTCGGCAACAACTAGATAGAAAGCATTCTCATTGTTATTCGTAATGATTTTCTTGTATTTTAAAGTTAGCACTTTATTTATGCTAGACACAGCAGCATCGCCACATTTTTCTCGCCGGCTGCAGCACAAAAGCCATTTTATTTCCCTTGAAATGACGCAAATAGAATTGCAGAGGAAATATTCCATTTGCGAATGGTAAAGCAAGTGTTGAATGCTTTATGGAATTTGCTGTGAAATGGATCTTTTGGGTCGATGCACAAAGTATTTCTGTTTCTAACTAGCTAAGACACGTCAAAGTGATTTTTACACATTTTTAAAGTTATTCTGAAGGAGCCGCTTCTGTGCGCGAGCTGCGTACCACAGTAATTGGTCATCATCTTATCGAATCGAACGTGTTACATAAAAATAACCATTAATCTTCCATTTTAAATCAATTTACTTACTACCCAATTAGAACTATAATTCCATGAAATCGTCGAAATACGAATTAGTCCAGTTTCTAAGCCAGATAAATTCACGAATTTGTTATGCATGAGATGTGAATCAAATAATTTGATAACAGATAACTCTATAGAGTCTCATTTATTATGAAAAATGCTAATGGACTTTGCGATACCCAGAGGCATATGCATATACCAATTCAAATCTTTTATTAGATGTCATTCTCTCATCATCATGATGGCTGATTTTCGAATTTTTTTTCTATCGTTCCCGATATTATTAACTAAATGTATGTCGGACATTAAATTATATGAATTTATCTATCAAATAAACCAAGCGGTACGATAAAAATATCGGAATTTGTGCCTTTTATTTGAAATTTAAAAAAAAATTAAAAAAAACACCCTTTACTTTTCATTTACACAATCCAGCGTCTGTAAAATATATAATTTCGTGGTACGAAAATGAATACTTCACCAGTTCATTCTTCTTTTTTTGTAAAACTCGATTACAATGGAAAAATTCCTGTGTGTACGCAGCACAAATAGCAATTATTCCACTTGGTCTTATGATTTACGATATGTGAAACGAGGTTACCTAAAATTTGATATTGCGGGCAATTTAAGTAGACTGCTCCATGAATTGTGGACACATATGGTATTCTATTACAAGTACAATACATATCAAAAGTATGCAATTGATTTTCTGGGGAAATTTTTGCGGCTGACGCATAAAAATAAAAGCTACTTGCTGGAATGGACACTGGCAAGGCTTCAGAAATACACGAACTTGAATCATCCAATGCAACGGAACGGTATATGTAAAAGCGAGAAATATTTCAATTCATCAACTTCCATTCGAACCACTAATCCTAACCGGGTGGACATCAACATCACCAATGAAAACCGCAAAATTCCAAATTTCATTGGGAAACTGTGTTTTAGCGTATCTGATCATCGGATCAAACGTATTTAGTTCAGTTTAATGTTGTTGAAACAACAAAAAATGACATACATGTTTTTATCAAATAATAATATTCCATGCAGAAAATCTATCATTTCATTCATTTTATTGTATTGATTGGAATTATTTTCTAAGTCGGTTCCATACAAAAATTCAGTTTCAGTTGCTAGCTATATTTACATCAGTAGATTTTATCTATAGTCAGTCTCATTTTTTTTTCATTCGAATGGTACAATTTGTTGTTTGATGCGAGATGTACCGTTGCGATATGAATTACCATGAACGTTTTAAATAGAACGTGGTCAAAGTAATTACAGAAAATTATAACGATTTCAATAATTATTGAAATTGGTGTCGTCAAACTTCACTGCTTTTGGCATAAGCACAACATTTTTGTGCAATTTTTCGACAAAACTTGACCGATCAATCAGATTTTCCAAGCAATTATTTCAGTTGAATTAAATTGTCTAATTTAAGTAATTTCATACAGCGGTGATCTTTCTAATGTAAATTTCAATAAGATTTGTAGTGAAATAGATAGAACGCGATACAAAATTGGTTCATTACATTATCTAATTCATCCATAATTGTTCTTCATTCGAAAAATGTGAGTGGAATTGCTTTGTAACCAATTTGGGAAATATTTTTTCCATGTTTGTTTCTACACAGTATTCATGGCTAAAATATATTTTATTGAGAAAATTGTCTTCCGTTTGATTTTAAAAAACTCTAATTTTGTTGATGATTTCAACGAAATATGATTGACAAGTGTTATATTGTATTTGTCATTTTGCAAATTTTCTTTAAAACGTCAACAGCGCCATCTAGATCTTCGTGTGATTTGTACGTTATCAATGGCGCTGTGATGTAACGAAGATATAGGAACCTCATTTACACTAAAATTTTCATACATATAAAACATAAATCTGCTCCTGTAAAAAGTTTATCATCGTACTATCGAACTCACAATTTTCTGTGTATAAATCATATACTGTCATATTTTTTCGCGCTGGTGGCGCACCTGGCCCATGGATGGATGTACTATGGGTTAGCTGAGCTATGTAACTGAATGTCAAGTTGGTTGTGTATGAATTTTGACAGAAATTAAGTGAACCGATTCATGATGCTTGGGTTCATACGGTATTTAACTACAGATATAAAACCTATCGAAAATATGTAATTGATTTGTGGGAGAATGCATGTAAGTGGGTCAGTATTTTGAGTAAATTCTCATTAAGCATCGAACATAATGTGACTGCATACAGGTATCGGTTTTGTATGACTGCACAGTGTACACAGGTATCGGGGTCAGAAAAATCTTGGGAAATACGCGAATTATAATCATCCATTCCCATACGTTTGGCACACGTTCGCCAGCCGGTCAATACAGGGTGGATTTTCACGTAACCGAAGGGAATCGATCATCGGTTTTGTTCATTCCAATAATATTTATCAGCATTTCTGACCATCGCATCCAAAAAATGTATGATTTTGGTTTGAGAACCAACCGAGTTTGTTTTGACACACACACCATTAATAACAACTTCTTGGAATCGAAGTGTTTTTGAGTTTTTTCTCTATAAATGTAACTATGATAGTGAAAAGCTAATGAAAATCTTACAAAATCACATTATGCAAATAAAGATAGGCAGTAAAATCATTCTTTTTTTAATTCCAGATATGGATTTTGAAGTCCACTGAAAAATTTGCGCTGCTGTATAGGGTATGTAAAAATAACAATTTTTTTAGTTTGAGCGTATCTTATCAACACAAATCAAATGCAACAATTTTACTTACACAGCCAAGCCGAAAAAATATGAAATTGAATTTTTTAGTGAATTTGAGTGAGCATTTGTATAATACTTTGGTGTGTACAACCGTTACAATACAAAATAGTTATTCAGTTAGGTCTTAGGCTTAATACATGCTGCCATGTTGGCCAATTTTGCAGCGCTGAGAGTGAGCTTTCAGACACTTAGATGCACATTGCACACCCTGCGATTGTAATGCAAGAAATGTATGTCGCATGCAGACTGCAAATCAAATGAATTGAAAAATAAGCTCAAAGTCATTTTGGCTAATAGAAGCAAATTCGTTTTAATTGAAACAGAAAGTAAGATGAGGGTTTGTTCTATTTTAAAGTGTTTTTATTCAAGAAAATAGCAAAGCACAAAGCCTGGGCCTCGCAGAGATTCATTGCCAAATAATTGATTTTATGTTTTGATTCTGAAATTTTCCATTCGATTTTTTTTTGTTTGCGTCGATTTAATTGGCCGCAAAAATTGTTGAAATATGTTTTCATGGGTAAATATTGAATTTTTAGGATAATAGAAGGTCAAAACAAGCCAATGTGCACACCAATTTATTGAAATATTTAGTTTACATTGTTTTTTGGCCAAGTAAATTGACACGCAATCGTTTGGCGATATATGTTTGCAGTGCTGAAAAAAGAATTGCCAGAACACTGAAACTGCTTCTCTGGCTGATAGTATCGATACAAATAATTGTATAATGGGAACATAAGATCGATCAAATATCAGATTCTAAATTATTCATATCCGTCTAAAATTGCCAGCGAAATGCTGTCTGAGCATTTCTTGTCATGTCCAAATGAAACCATCACGTGAAATGTTATACAATTTCCAATCAAATAATAATGCAAATTACACAGTAAAAAAATATAACATTTAGTAAAGATAATAGAGGCTAAAGACATCGCGATTAAATTTCGGTATAAAACTGAGTGCGCACCAAATGCTTGTCTGAGTTTGGTTTGCGATTCAGTTGTATCAACAATGAATCTACTATTCAGCATTGTGTCCATTGTTTCAATTGCGATTTTATTCCAAATTAACGCACCAGTTGACTCTTCGGTAAATATTTTCTTTAATATTTCTATCTTTCGGATTTAACAATAACAAGAAAAAACGTTGATATTTGAACATACAGAAAAATGTAATAACATTCGAAAAATTGCTATGCAAGCGACCGATCAACAAGAGAGTTTCCGATGTATTTTGCGAAGTCAAAAAAATAAGCCGTAGTCGTATAAAAGTTACAATGTGGATTAATGTGACTGAGCCAATATTTGACATATGGATACATACGGTGGTCAATTATCGATTCAATGGATTGACATATCAAAAATTTCCAATTGATCTGTGGGAAAGTATGTGACCAACAAATTAACTGTATACACTCGAAACTTCACTTATTTTTTCTCCTTTTTCATCACTATTTGCGGTTGGTAAAGATGTGTGCGATTGGCTATCGGGATCAATGAAGTCCTTCGTCTTGAATAGGATGCTCGGGACAGTTATACAATATACCAATATAAATCACTCATGCCCATACGATGGACATGTTTATCTTAAGGTTGATAACATGTCAGTGGACCAGTTCCCGTTGAAGCAATTTGTGCCAAGTGGGCGCTTCCGTGTCGATTACAATGTCACAAGTGGGAATCGCACAGATGTATTTATGATGATGCAATCGTTTTTAAGTGTATCCGATAATCGTGTCGATCGATTTTGGTAAAAATTATGTTGAAAAAATATTTTGTTGAATTATAAGAAATTGACATTAGTTTGTCTGTAGAACGGTCACTTTACGGACGATTACAGAAAAGCATTTTTTGAGATTGAATTTTGAGAGATTTTTGTATTTAGCTGGCTATTTGGTACATATTGATCATCTGAACAAACGAATTTGAGTGGTGACACTTCGGCTATGACAAAGTAGTCACTGCTATTTAGTACAGAATGTTGAGAGAAAATGAAAAGAATTGTACACATTTTGACTTGAATTAAAAATAATAAAAACGTTATTTGATATTTGCTTCCAAAAAAAACGAATTAGGCTTAATATCTTGTCTTTTGGAGAACGGTAGAAAACTACGTGAAAAAATTGAATAAACGTTGCAAGAATAATAAATCAAATGAAGGAAATATTTCAATAAAAATTTGTTTGTCGATATAGACTCGAAATAAGTGAGTTGAAAATGTATAAAAACAACAACAACAACAACAAGCGTTTAAAGACCATTAATGCCTTGTGGCGTCTGGTCTGTTTTGTAACGGCGGCCTCATGTGTCTTTGAGCTACTAATGGTCATGCCTAGACCTCCCATCGGATTTTCACGAAATATCCGGAATTTTTGTACGGAATTCGAAAAAATGTCCGGAGTTTGGGAGCAGAATATCCGGAAAAATCTGGATTTCTTTAAATATTGAAAGTATTAGAAAATATGCTAAATGTGGTATTATCTAAGGGATAGACACGAATAGCATATTAGTAAATATTAGAACTTATTAGAAACCTTTTGACAGCATTGAAAGTACACGTCATATGGAAAATATTAGAAATATTAGTAAAAATTAGACGAAATTAGAAAACGTGTCTACCCCCTAGGGTATTATACGAAATAGTTGGACAAAATTGAAGTGCCATAAAATAAATAAGAAAAACATGAAAAGAAATTAAGTTAACCCTTTGACGACCAATGGGACACATATGTCCCATTTTGTTTTTCATCTGTAATAACTACATTTTTTAACCAATTTTAGTAAAATTGGTTTCGTTTGAAAGAGAATTAATGTAGCTATCAGAAAGTACCATAATATTGGATATTTATTGTAAACGCAATTGGATAGAACACTCTAAAGTCAAAAACTCTTAAATTTTTTTTCAATTTTCGCCAAATGCTATATAATTTTAACGGTGGAACTTTTAAAGCTGAAAATTTGGAATAATGTGCGAAATGTCCATTACTTTCCAAAAATCATCGACTTTATTTTAGAAAAAACGTTTTTTTCCACTTTTTATTGCGTTTGGCGCGATGGGACATATGTGTATCATTGGTCGGTAAAGGTAAATAAATACCCCGTATTTTCCTGTATTTTGGCCATTATTCGCGAATTTTCAAACACAAAAATTTACAAAAATATCATTAAATTCGTGATTAAATGGGCACAACAAAGCACAATTCAAACCATTTTCGGTTCAAAACAATTCTGAATATTTTAAAAACGAAAAAGATTTTACACGTAGTTCTTATGGGAGACATGTTTTTTTCCATACAAAGGTAGTTACCGTTACCGACCAATGGGACATATATGTACCATCATTTTTTTCATATTTCTAGTTGAAAAAAATTAATTTTTGATAACATTTTTATTATGGTTTTTGGGGTCGCTGAGCACGAATCTGCAATCAGAATTGCAAAATTCCCATCCGTTCAATCTTGGTCGTCAAAGGGTTAAATAACAACATTCAGTCTGTATTTCGTTCTCTGAATCATGGTGTTGCCAGACATATGAGTTTATACATCCTTAAATCACCCATGTTCAATGAAAAAAAATTATTAGCTCTTTCTGTGCCGTCGAAGTTTTTGCCATGATTTTGAATATTCGGCATTGCACACAAACTGAACCGAAATTATATGCGTTTATTTTTCTAAAAGATTTGAAAAGATTTCAAGCAACTGAATCAGTTGAACCGATTTCTTCTCTACGTTTCTTCTGTTCTCAGTTTGCTAACTGTATTGAGAATATATTCGCAATATATGTAATACATATACATATTATGTATATTGAATGAACTGTTAGTATATATATTGAATAGCAGCGAAGTGTAGTTGACATTGTTTATTTATAATAAAAGCAAAAAAAACACATTGACACCATAATAGAAAAAAGGAAATCGCCAAAAACGAGGCACTCTGTTGAATATGCCATAATATCGTGTTGTATGTGAACCACATCTAAATTTTGAACAAATGGAATAATAATAGAAAAAGATATCGACAACTTCTCATTTTCTAAATATCTTTTATAAAATTTTAAATGGAATTGTGTTAAAATGTACAACATTTTAATACGTTTTCTCAAAATTTGAAAATATCCGGAATTATACATTAGAGAAGACCGGATTATGCCGAAATATCCGGAATTTCACGAAATTCCGGACGTTTTCGGACGCGATGGGAGGTCTAGTCATGCCAAAGTTTGTACAAGCCACTTCTAGGTCACTGATACTGTTTTGCAATTCTTGCTCAGATCTGCCAAACAGGACCAGATCATCTGCATACGCTAAGCAGAAATGAACTGCGGAGGAGTACCATAAATGTGGTACTTGAAAATGTTACTACGCAAAAGCGGTACACGTGTTGTTGTAATCACGGCTTAAAAGCCCCGAAAAAAATTATTTTGATGTACCGCTTTTGGGTACCAACATTTTCAAGAACCGTATTTCGTACGAACGTAACAATGTCCAACGAATATTCTCAGCAGTTCAAATAATTTTACCACCCAAAGTTATGTTACCCCTCAGCTTGGCTGATTTAATTATTTTATCCATATAAACCATAAACAAAAGCGGTGAAATTGTACAACCCTGTCTAAGACCATTGCGCACCTCAAACCAATCACTATGAAATGTTGAAAATGTATGCCATTACTTTATTGATTTTGTTTCGAGCTGAACTTGGCAGATGTAAATCCAAATGTAATGCAAATTGGGCGAACTAGGATAGCAATGCTCTATCTCAGTGAGGCTGACAGACCATTTTGGATTAACTAAAAAACGTCAATTACCTGATTTATGAATTCAACATTGAACTACGAACAATTTTAAATTTTATCCGCGTCAGTTTAAAACCGACGATTAGTGAATAGTGAATGCGCAATCGGAATGAACTGCGAACGTGTTCATGAAGTGTGTGAAT